TGGAAGAAAAATGCCAAAGCGGCGAGCCAAGGCCTCAGTGGAAGCCTGCCCAAATGCTAATAACGAGGCAGCATAGGACCTAAACAGGCTAAATCCAACTAACTTCGGCCCTCTGTTAGGAAATCAGGCTTACGCTGCTAGAGCAGGCCAACTTGGACAGGTGAGTGGCTGTTGCCTCCCCAGGAGCAGCCCATCTAGGACACAAACTACGCTAGCTCGCACAGAGCCACCTCCCGCCTTGAGTGCGGCGTGTTTGCATCGGCAAACCTGACGGCAAGATGGCTGCTCCCACAGAGGCCGAAATATTGGTGAAGGAAAACAAAGACCCAGAAAGGAAGTAACCGTACAGGCTTGCCAAGGGGTAGCTATCAGGAACACAAGTAACATTCCCCTACAGTCCCATGGCCTGTCAGGGAAACGCCATAAAGTTCATAACAGTTTCTGTTGTCCCTTTATTAACGCTAGCATTTTTTTGCTTTAAGTATGGTACCACTTACCTTTTTTCCTTTTTAAACATGACGTTTTTAAATCACATGATTTACTGACACACGCACAAAAAAAAGCTTTGCGGACCGATTCTTATCCCAGAAGCGCCAATTCCACATTGTCCCATGGTTTAAGAGAAAAACGTGACACTCCAAACTTCACACTGTTTAAATGTTATTTTATTAAATATCTTCAGTTCAAGGTTTCATTGTAACAAAGCTATGAAGGTTCTACCAACATTCAGACCAAACAAACAAACACTAGCTAACTTTAATTATTTCTATATCATGCAAAAATTCTGCATCAAATGCCTTCCATTTCCTGTTTAAAATGTGATATTTATAATATATATTATATAGATGCTTATATTAGCCCCATAAGAGAACATTAAGAATGCTAAAGGTGTACAGCTGTGTTTGATAATGGCCATACCAAGCTAAGGTTCTCATTAACTTAAAAGGAAACAAAACAAACAAAAAAACCCAAAAGAGAGTTTGTCTCCAAGACTGTGCAAAACCAAAAAACCCAACAGTTCTGTTCTTTTTAAATTTTCTCTGAAGGATGCAGATACTTAATACAGAGGGTTTTCTTAATAATCATCAGGTAAAGAGACAAGGAAGATCAGACCTAAAGAAGGCATGCATAATGTTTTGTATTTATCTTTTTTAAATGGCATAATTGTAATCTCCTGTTTGCTCTCTCTTTGTGGTTTTTAAAAAAAATCTGAATAAAATATCAAGGCTTTTCACTTTTCCACTTCACTCACTGGCTTAGTGCTGTCTTAAAAATGTTTCAAAATAATAAAATCTAGTGTTTGCCCCCCATGGGTTCAGTCCCCACACTCCTCCCTGGGGTGGTGGAGGGAGGAAGAAAAGGGTATTTGCTCAGACAAACCTGGGAAGTGTAGATGGTCTTTTCCTTCATCAGGGGTTAGCTGATCTAATCCTAGCGTGGGGTAGCACCTCCCTAACAAAGGGAGCAGAGAGCTATCTGTTGCAAAGTGATAGCTCCACTTTGTGCAACAGCTTTTATTTTCTGCATTCTGTTAAATAAGGATTAAAATTCCAAATTGGCTTCCTTCTCTTCTGTAAGTCTGTAAAAAGGTTGCCTCACACTTAGTATGCTGTCAATGCAATAACTTTAACTCCCTCAAAAGGTCCGAAAGATGATTAGGGGTAGACAGAAATTCAGGTGAAAGCCCATCCCAATTTCTCCAAGTGATGCCTTCCCTTGGTCAAGACAAATCCTATCGGGTCTGCCAGAAAGGCCATGTTCTTCTTGGGGCTAGGCTCCCTCCTTGGTAAGGTCAACAAAACACTTCTACGTTCCCCACCCAATGAATAAAGGAAATGGACTCCTTTTGCAGCAAAGAAAAAGGATGATGAATTGGCCCAAAGGACAAACATCAGATCACATGTGCTAATTCCCTTTCCCCTCTGCTTCATGAGGTATCCTCTAACGCCCAGAGGCAACACAGGGAGGTGGCCTGGAGTCCTTTGGCTACGGGTTTTGAGGTTCTATTCTGATAGTCTTCTGTGTTACAACATCACTGTAAAAAATAGAAAAATTACCCAAATAAACACTAGGAAACATGACACCTACAAACATCGGATGGGTTAGTGGTGGGGAGAAGCACCTGGCTGGGGCTGCTGGCTCCCATTGCTATTTTACTCGGAGACCAAACGAATCAAACAGGAGGCCAGGTAACCCCTTTAATTCTATGGGTGCATATATTTCAGTATAAAAAACACACGCTATTTATGCCTCGTATAGGAGTGTATGTGCAAGTCTTCATGAAGAACATAACACTAAGTTTTTTGTCTGCTTCCTAAAGGAACACGTGTTCTGCAGCACTGTGGATCCCAACTACGCTACTAGAAAGAAAAAAAAAAAAAAAAAGAAAATCCCATACATGTTACCCTCTTCATCTCTGCTCTTAATGCAATGCTTTTTTTGTTTTGTTTTGTTAAATTAAATAATCTGGCTTCAAACCTCCATGTTTGGCCAGGTAGTGGCTGTTTCTAAAATCAGTATCTCTGAAGAGCAAGCTTCTATTTAAGTTATACTCACTTAAACCCATTTTTTAATCCCTACTTCCACCTTTAGTTTTAAGTCAACATCCCATTTTGGTTTTTTTTTCTTTAAAAAAAAAAAAAAAAAAGTCTGTTTTGGGATCCAGCAGCCGAGCAAACAGCTTTCCATAGCGTTCTTGCTGTGCAGAAATCGAAGAAGAAACTCAGGCTGAAGTCAGTCTGCCAGGCAACAGGAAGAGAAACGCCTCCTCTCTCTTGAACCCCAGTCTTCACACTGGCTCCTCTGGGGTCTCCTCGCCACCTCGCACCGATTGAAGTCGCAGCACAGCCTGAATGCGATGTTAGCTTCCACCATGGCTTTGCGGAGCACAGTTCAGCCATCCGCTGCTCAAGCCGCCTCCTTTTTTGCTCTCCCTCTCTCTTTCGCTCTCCTTCACTTTTGCTTCCCCCCTCACTTCATTCCTGAAAGATGTTCCAGCTGCTGCCATTTTCTTAGCCCTGGGGGAGGGGGCATGTTGGATAATCTGTCATTTATTTAGCATTACTCCTGTTTTTTATTATTTTATACAAACAACATGTCTTTTTTTTTTTTTTCTTTTTTTTGATTTAAAAACACCTTCGTACAGCAGAAACAGACACGATGGATCCATGGAAAACAACAGAAAGGCAGCGCCTGGAGCATCAGATGCATGCAGGGTTTCGTGCATTTGGCTGCTGCCTGTTTGTAAATTGTATTTTTTTTTTTTTTTAACGTCAAAACAGACATGACCGTTGCTGTCACTCAGGCACTCCAGAGCTGCTTGCTAAGAAGATATTGCCCTCCAGCTGAGTATCTCCACAAGTTGCTGCAGTCAGGAAGAGGTAGTGTCCACCCAGAAAGGAGAGAGAACCGGATGGAAGATGGAAGGAAATAAAGCCAAACATTAGCTATACACAATTAATAAAACACGTTTTCTACAGGCTAATTATTTGGTGCAGGCAGAAACCCTTCCTAACACAACACAGACTGGGGCTCGTGGGGAGAGCCCTGAAGACAAGAGGCACACGCTTTCCCTTCCAGGTGGCTGAGTGTGCCAATGAAAACGAACTACTTGCTAAAATGAATTACTTGCTTGATTGGAGCAGACCTGGGACCACTATCTAATGGTGACATGTCCCAGAAGTTGAAGAAGTTTCCCAAGGGGTGATCAAAAGCTCTGGTCCTAAGGAACAGTTTCTGCCTTACTTCCCATTAGCTTTTGCCTTGAACTGAAGGATCATTCTTTTTTTTTGTTTGTTTGTTTCTTTTTTCTTTAGTAATTTTGTCTCTGAATGTTCTTAATAATTAAACAAATGTATGAGCTTTTCTGCAGTTTTGCAAAGTTGTAGCCCTAGTGACTGCTTTTAGCAAAGGCTCCTCCTTGCTAATCTTCTTGTGTCAAGCTACCAGATTTATTTTGATCAGTTTTAAGTTTGGGTTTTTTTCATGTTTGTTTAGCATTGTCCTGCCATGAAAGTGTAGTCAAAATCTTCTTTCTACCATTTCTTAGTTTGCAAATCTTTGTTGCAAACTCTCTTACTAGTCTTCTGCCTTCTTGGTTCCTACTCTCTCCTCACATGGAAGACCTCTGATTAACCTCAAGCTTCTTTTATGGCTGCAGTTCCCTTTTACGATGAATTACCCCAAACTGAACTCTGCCTTCCAGGTGAGAACAAACCACTGAGTTCTATTTAAGCATTCTTATTCACCTCATTCCTTCTTCACCCTTACCCTTTGCTGTACACGGGCCAGTGCTGCTCCAAAATGATGCAATGTGTTCAGATGGGGGCTGCCCACACTGACCCCACTCATAAGTGCACGTGATTACACCTCCTTCAGAACCCAGAAATGCATGCAAATATTTCAACTTCATTTAGTTTATAGGTTTTTTAAAATATTGTTTTAACCAACATTTTGTGGTTTGGAAATGGCTTCTGCCCTCCAGTTTTCAGAAACCCTCCAGCACATATTTTTGGAGGAGGTGCAACATTTCAGCAGCCAAGTCAAGGAAACATGCCTCTTCTGTAGCAGCTAAGACTCTGCATTCCTAAGCTTCCTCAGAACTCCTAGGCATAGCCACTGAGCCTTACCAATCTTTAATTTAATGATTTCTTCTGCATCTTTTTTTGGACTAAATCCAGGACAGAAGTCTCCCTAACATCTCTGTGATGAAAACTGATTGAAGTAAGTTATTTTTTGTTTCCCTGCAAAGGCTTTTTCCTTCTCACTGCCTTACTACCTGGAAATTTAGCTGATTGTCCGGCTCTCTTGAAAGCTTCCCTGTTTCTGGTGCCCCCAACCGGCTTTTGCTTTTCAAATTCCATCTGTGACCTCTGCAGTTTGCTTGTGATAGTTCACATTCCTTTCCATTGCCTTCAGTAGGGTTGAATCCCTCACAACACCTAAGAATGAAAACTACTTTGGGCTTAGTCCCAAGTAGTAGACAAGACTAGGACTCAAGTAGTAACTATATTTGAGTGGTTCATCCTCAGATGACCACATTAAAAAAAAAAAAGCTTATCTCCCAGGTGTAGATGGTTTTTGTGTTTGCTCTTAAATAGAAAATATTTAGTAAAAAGGTCCTAAGATTAGAAAACTTAGATCTTTAAAATGAATGTGACATACTTCAGCATAAAATGAAAGGAGGCAGAAAGAATTTTTACATCTAAAAGAAACAGTAAGGCAATAAACAAGAATGCCTAAATGCTGCAGAAGTAAATGGATCTGCTGTCCTTCAGGAGCAAGCAACAATAGTTTCTTCATGTCAAATTTTATAATCAAAGTTTCCTCCAGTGCTGAATTCTGGCAAGCTAATTGGGGGATATTTTAAATCCTCTAAGAGTATTCTTTGTTTAGATTTATTTTTCCCTCTGAGTTTTCTTAACATTGTACAGTAAATAGCTTCTGCTAATCAGAAAACCAGTAGTAAAATTTATATGAATAAATCTTTACGCTTATGGCATTGAAATTGTTCCATATAGATTTTACAATATTCTGTCTAGAATATGACATTCTCATCAAAAAAGTCCTCTGAAATCACCAGCATGTACAGGTAGATCCCTGACAGCTGGGAAACAGCAAACCTGTGCACAGCATGAGCTACTCTTCCCCTCTGCTCTGTCCGAGCACAGAGCTGAGTACCTGGGAGGAAGCACTGCTGCTACAAGGGTAGCTATGCTCAGGAACAACCGTCTGGCACATGACTCCAGTTTGTCAGGAGTGGCAGATAATCCTACTGAGTCCAGAGGGCAGGGCTTAGAGAAAGGAACACCAACTGATCAGCAGAAGCTTTTAGCCTACCCACAGCTAAAAATGGTTCTCTTACAGCCAGCTAAACAGCCTTGAATACTGAATTCCCACAAACAGCAGCCTTAACTGCATGTATGATATACTCCTTCCCCGACAGTCCATACCCGTATTTGATCTTCACTGGAGAGGTGCTGCAGGAGCTCCAGAGCAGTGGTAGTGGACATTCAGCCACTTGCCATCTCGGCGGTGCCAGACGCGGGTCTCTTCAGACTGCGTGGTGCGGGGCCGGCCTTGGCCATCGATGTACTGTGTCAGGCGGATGTATGCGATGCAGGCAGCATCTTCACCAATGACATGGACGTGGGGGTTCAGGATGGTGGTGTGTATTGGCTTGCTGTTCTTCGACAATACTGGCAGAACATGCAAAACCATCAGCTTCATTTTACTAGTACGAAGGAACAGCCCCCATATCCTCCAACCTCTTTCGTATTCTACTCACCTTCCACTGGATTCTGGGACACAATAAAAATTGTTCCTGCAATTTTCCACGCAAAATCAGAGCAATTCTTTCCCCCATCACCTGTTCTTCTCCTTAGGAACTGCACGCTTATCATTGCTAGAATCCCCCGGCCCCTTTGCTCCCACTTCCTCTGCAAAGCATACTCGCCACTTTTTCAACATCAGTGCTGCTGTTTCTTCAGTTACGGGAAAAAGATCTTTTAATTACAGAATATCGTTGCAAAGGAGTCAATAATCAGGAGATCTTTAAGCTAGGCCTGCATTAAATATGAACAAGCCTCAGAGAAGTGCAAAAACCACTCCAGAACAGACTTTTGAGAGAGACGAAGTCTCTGCATACTTGGAGCACTCGGAATTGCCTATACTAAGGACCTGGACCTAACCCCCAAAATACAACAAATTCTACAGCTCAAGATTTAAATTTCAATTATCTCATCCTGTGGAGACATCCAGGAAGGGAGTCAAATTCACTAGTATAAATGATAGCATTTCTCCCAACTCTTTTTCCTGCCCCAGGCTGACAAGGTGACCCTTTTATCCACATAACGGGTTCAATTAGGTGTTAAGAATTTTGAAACTGTCCAGGGAAAACTCAAAGCAAAGGCATGACTGATGTGCATGACTGTCTTTAGGTCTGACCATTCAGTATGTCTACCCCAAACATACATGTTGTTTCCATCAAAATATGCTCATTTT